TGCAGGAGAGCCCGAGGAGGACGAAGGCAGGAGCTGGGGGGATGAGACGGTTCCCGCAGCATCGGGGCAGCGCCCGGCGGAGGGCTGGGCTGAACAAAAGCCGTTCACCCGGCGTTTCGGGCACGGTGTGAATTCCCAGAAGAAAGGGGAGTCAGGGAGAATCGATGTTTGCTGAATAAGCTTTTTTTTCTTTTTCTTGTGTTTTGTTTTTTTTTTCCAAGGGGTCTAAACAGGTGGGCTCTTTCAGGTCAGATTTGGTGGGGGAGATGTAGGAGGCAGGAGGCAGGCAGCTGTGCTCCTGTCCCTGTGCCCCTGCAACCAGTGGGACTTTGTGCAGGCGAGTCTTCCTGCGAGGATCCTTTGAAAGCCGTTCCTGACACATGCCGTCCAAGGCACTAATCATCGATGTTTACTGTATAGCTCATATGTGCTGCACCTGGCAGCCAGCAAGGGAGCTGAAGGCAGCACGTGTTTTATATTTGAGTTGTTACTTAAAAAATCAAATTATTTGCATCAGTTTTTGACATTGTTTTTTTTCCCTTGGCTCTGTATGCCAGGGCTCACAGTGCGTGCAAAGATCTGTTTGCTACGTGTAAGCAATATTTTCCTCAGTAAAAAAAAAAAGTGTAGACAAGTTAAACATAAAAGGTGTAAAAGATGATATGTCTTTTCATTTATAAGCCGCCATGGTATTTCATACAGGCTTATGTCAAAGAGATTAACCCACTGGAGCTATACTGTATATTTATAATTGCATACAAATGCATGCTATTGCTTCATATATTAGTCTTTGTTAAAAAATCATTTTGATATATTTGTTTTAGCAGCATAACTAGCCCTGAGGGCACTGGGTATAATTAGAAAAGGGCATGGGGGGGAGGCGGGGCTTGCAGAATAAAGCAGTGGCCTTAGGAGCACAGGTCCTAATTATAATTTATAATTAACCCCGGAATTTTCACAAACCATCTAAGCTAAACAAGGACTATAATTTTTACTGTTTAAATCACAACCCTTTTTTTTTTTTAATTTCACCACCTGCTTTGTTGATGTTGTTGTTTTTGCGGCTTAAAACTTAAAAACAAGGGGGGATTAGGAAAGCGACATTTAAAACTTTCCATATGAAATATTTACAGTGGGAATTTACTAGTTTGGAGCCAACATAGCGAATCTGCAGCAGAAGGAGTGATCTGAAATTTGTTTACTTATAATTAAAATTTTCCCTATTTATTTTACTTGCCTTTTTTTTGCCCTTCTGCTTCCCTCTCTGCCCACAACTTCTGCCGTGTACCTCAAGTGTCAGTGAGCAGGAGCTGTAGGGAATCGGATGAGATTGTGTCTCCACCTGGATGGAGACGTTTATGTTGCTTGTTGGCCCGAATTCATAGACCCAAACCCATTTTGTCCCTCGTGCTTCTGTGTATACCAGGTCCATACAGCACTTTTTTTCCACTCTTTTGCTCTCCATTACTGCTTCAGTGTAATAACGATTGTGTGTGAGAACATCCAGTTCCTCCAGCTGGGTTTTAGCCACCCTTGCTGCAGCAATGCTGCTCGCTGTCCATGAGATCAAGTAGCAAATGCCGGAGTTGAGCCAGAGACCTTCGCTGAAAACAAAATTGCCAACAAGCCTCCAAACAAGCTGGTGCGACTTCAGCTTTTCATGTTTTGTTTTTTGGGTTTTTCCAGCCCCATCACGTACTGGAATTGTCTAGAGCACAGAAGTGGATCTTAAATTATAGCGGCACTAAGCTATATACCCTTTGTGTTCTTGCGAAAAGGAAAATAAATATGTTCCCTCAAAAGATTACATTTTCAAAGTATATTTGACTTGAGGATTTAATTAGGTTTCAAAATTATCGAGCTAATAAATTAAGTGCAAGGCTTTGGGTAGTGTTTTTCCAGTTCTATGTATATCCTGCATTTGTCACTAATTAATGAGTTCCTAATGCTTCAGCTTCTGGGAAGATGAGCAACAAAGATTAACATAACTAGTAAATCTGAAGACGTGCAGCTGGGTTATAGTATTTGAAATTTGACAAAAACATTGGAAGTATTATTATTTGTGACATGGCTCAAGATGGGGGATTGTGAGGAAAGCAAAGATGACAGAACTGGTGCTAACCACTGTGACAACAACTTGAAAAGCAGCCGACATGACATCTTTCCTATCATGCTGCCGAAAATGTCAACTTTGTGAAGGACAGTGAGAAAATGGTTTGCCGAAAATTTGAAAGGTAGATTCAAGAGATGCTCATCATGTCAGATGCAATATAGTCCACAGCTGGGTGAGAAAGGGAGTCCTTGCCGTGGTGATGGCTCTCGGTTGGCAGGCCCTTCCAGACATCCGCGCTGCTCCAAAAATGGCTACAGCTGACCTGTAGATTGTCTCAAGTTTGCAGTAGCATGATACGCGAGGGCGGCGTGTGTTTACGCCGCACCATGGGTGCTCCGTGGAGGGAGTGGTGGCCAGAGCCACCGGGTTCGGTGGCCTCCAGGCCCACAAAGTCCTTGAGACAGGTGAAGACCAGGGAGTTAAGCCTACGTGGTCTGTGCGCACCTCGGTGGTTGGGTTGGTGCCCTTGGGGCGTTGTGACTTGGGCAAGAGCTGCGTGGGCCAGAGGTTGCCCCTCCAGAGCCCACCCTTCTTCCTGGCGTGTATCAGTGTTTTCAGAGCGATGTTTCCAGAGCCGCCGCTGCCCAGCCAGTGACGCAACGAGTGTTGTCACGCCAGCCCCTTTTGGGTGTCCACCACAAGTCGTTAGGTGTCGAGCACTAAATAATGGGTTCTGGCAAAACCGAAACCCTTTGAATATAGTGAGAAACTGCGTTTCCCGGGAAAGGGCTGCAACCCAACCCGAGCTGTCGGATCCTGCCGTTAAATCTCGCCAGCTGAGGTTACTGACCCAGCAAAGGGTAACACAACTTTCAGACCATTTCCAGTCCATCAGCAAATCACTGCCAGGACAGGCGGCTTTTCGTACCTCGTTTGTCAGCACTGATGCAATTAACCTAGTGACACTCTGTGAGCTGTTATGGGTACAGGGGGAGAACCGAATGCCAAAAGTCAAATGAGGTCTTCAACCCTGCCCCTTAATGTACGGCATTTATTGCCATCTGCCTTGAATCATCTGCTCTTCTGCTTGGGCGAGAACCGGGCGCTGTGAGGTGCACAACGTCACAAAAGGCATGAACATCTCTTGTTGGAATATTAAATATTTTATGGAACTTTGGAGAAAAAATATATTAAGCATGTTCAGACATTAATTTTTGCTCGATATCTAATTTGTTGAGTTTTTTTGTGGCTTGCTCATTTCTTCAAAATAACTAGTCCTAATTAGGTACTAATGAGACCAGATCCAGACTTCCAAAATTGTTTATGAAGTGTGTTCCCCAGCTGAGACATTTTATCCAAGTTTCAGCCTAAATCTTTTACTTTTTTTTTTCCTTAATACACGACTGAATTTGGCAAATAACCAAGTTAAGATTTCTGATTAAATGCTGTTTAAATTTAAATATATCCCCTGGTATTCGAGTCTTTTTCTATGTCCATGTTGCAAGTTTTATTTAACGTATATTTAGCTTTAAAATTTTGCAGTAAATATCATGTATGGTTTGCAAGTTCCTCTTCTGAAATGTTTTAGCAGTTTGTTCACCTGCGTTGGAATATCAGAGTTCATATTTATGATATTACAGCTTACTAAATACAGGGTCAAGGAGATGCGATTGCACGGATTTTATAGCTTTTAAATTTTTATAGGTTTCGTGATGATTTTTTTTTTTTTAAGTTTAGGGCCTTTGATTCTTTAAGAGGAAAATAAAGCCAACCAATTAACCCCTGACAGGAGGTTCATTAGAAGCTTTGTAATCCCTTGCCAAGTCTTTTGTACAGCCAAACCAGTCTAGTACTGTGGATTTGTGCAGCTTAAGCTGAACACTGGAGGAGGCCTTTAAGTAAGAGCATTTGTTCAGTTTTAAGACATCTCACATTGCCTAAAGAGCGCCTGTGCCAGCAGAGTTGCCCAGGAGCGTGCGAATCCGTAGGCTTGGCTCACCGGCGACAGCAGCGGTGCCGCTGATTGTCTGCCTGGCCGGTTCCTTTGGTGGATGGATCGGAGTCACTCTCCCCTCTCGCGTGTTTTTGCCGCATGGGTATAGGGGGACAAGGAGGGGGTTTGCTGCTTTCGGCTCTGGGATGGATTGGCGTCCACGGGGTGGGAGAGCGCAGGGACCACCGCGTCATCCAGCCCTGGGAGAGCGTCCGCGGGGTTCGCCCGCGCACTCTGTGTGCTCTGTGAGAGACGAGAAATAGCCCAAGGCGGCAGGACCCGGGTGTCTCACGACGCGCTCCTGTGCACTCCCGATACGCAAGGGTGTTGTAGAGAGTCCCAGAAAATCTCAGATGAATTGTATCGATGCGCTAGTTTTCAGAAATTAAAATTAAATGACCCGGGAAGGCATTGCATTTTCAAACACAAAATGCGTGTCACTCTCTAGGCACGTTTCGGCAGAGTATATTGAAGATGGTTCACTTCAAGAAATCACTGTAATGGAGTGATTCAGCAGTTGTGAAGGAGTGCAGAATTTTGCATTCTGTTTGTATGTATGCCTGGTGACGGTATTATTTTATACTGTGAATTGTGTTAAATCAGCGGCAGAATTTTTCTGCAGAAATTCAGTCCCTGTTTTGTCAGCGATGGGCCCAATCCTGCATTAGCTCCCTGTCACATATTTAAAGGGGGATTCTTCTTTCTCTGACTGCTCTATCCTAAAAAAAATGAAGGAGAGGGGGGTCCACATCCAGGTTATCCCTCGGAGAGAGGATATTTATTTATATTTGATATCTCGGCAGCGATGCTGCCGTGAGCAGCCGTGTCTCTGTGTAGCACATCATCACGTTGGTGACATCCCTTTCCGAAAGGGCAGCGTGCTGTGTGCTCTGGGGCTGAGTTACTGGGCTGGTGAGGTAAGAGTCCCAGTCATTTGTGGTATTTCTCCTCCAGGCCTGACGGGATAGGAACTGTGACCGTAGACGAAAAAGAGCGTTTTGAAGAGATCAAGGAGCGGCTTCATTTGCTTCTGGAGAATCAGATCACGCATTTTAGGTAAAGGCAGAGAGCCCAGGCTGTGTGCCAGAGGACAGATTTCCTCTCAGCTCCCTTCTATAAGCAGCAAAGCCAAAAGGCAGGTTTTAAACGTGCACGGGAATTTTGCGTAACTGGCACAGCCCCACACAGGGCAGTGAGGCTTCCACTATAGCGTGTTTGTAGCTGGAGAGTGATTTTAAATATCTAACCTTTAAAGGATATTTCAAACCATCTTGCTCCCACAGGCATGGTAACACTGTGCGTTTTTTTGCCTAAAATTTTAAAAACAAAAATCCCATATCCTCTTATTTCTCCATTCCCCTCTGCCCGGTTATTATCCATTTATTTTCCTTTCTCCTTGGTATTCCTGCAGGCAGGGATTTCTGCAGGGGTGTCACAGTGTAGAAAGGGTGGATAAACGTTCCTGTGAAGAGGGCTGGGTTGTCCCCAGCCGGGTCCTGGGCGGGCTGTGCACGCAGGCGGGGGGCGGGCGTTTGCGCGCCGCGAGCCCCCGCGGGG